TTTATTTCAAGTCTAGGTTCAACTCTGAAAATAGAAACACCACTTAGCTCCCACTAATAAAGAGCATTCTCTTAAGGTAGTCCTAAGGTTGCTGCTAATCACTTAGTTCAACTGACTTGCCCACTTTCTGCAAAAGGCTACGTGTTGATCACATTAAAAAAGGGAAAAGCGTTCAGGAGTCCCCAGCAGGGCAACACTGGCATACTACAAATGCACTGCAAATCATTCTTCATCCCAGCATTCACCCTTAGAGGAATTTTTCCAGTAGTAAATGCAGCTAAAATCATGTAAAAAGAGTCATTTAGAGGCAGAATCAAATTTAAAAATAAAAAGCAGAAAACTGAATGGATACTGAAGTTCTAGAAAGGATTCGTTCATGTGAAATATAAAAAGAAACACAAACCACACACTTAACAGGATAAGAAATGGGTTGTTAGATCAGTAAGACAAAGTAAACACCTACTTGGAGAGATTACTGGGGACAAATTAATCACCAAGTTGTTATTCATGTTATTTCAAATTTTTGATATTGTTCTCCTAATAGACATGTCCCCAAGCAAATACAGCTGGTTCCCCCATCCCTCAACTTTTTTCACCTCTGTGTTTACAAGCCAAACCTTTAACTGGTGGGTTCAAGCCTGGCCTCCTCTCTACTAGTCCAGTCTACATGCAAACCAGAATGTTCCTCCAAATATGTCCATTTACAGCCACATACAACTCATTAAAGACTTCCGGTGGATCTAGATGCCCTCTGGCTCCAGTATAAACTCATCTGTTGACTTCAAGACTCTCTATCCCCTGGGACTTCCCTGGTGGTCCAGTGGGTAAGACTCCACACTCCCAATGCAGGGGGCCTGGGTTCCATCCCTGGACAGGGAATTAGATCCTACCTGCATGCCAAAACTAAGAAGCCCACATGCCGCAAGTGAAGATCCCACATGCCACAACTAAGACCCGGTGCAGCCAAAATAAATAAATAAATAATAAATACTAAAAAAAAGAGCAAAAGTGTTAATTTAAAAAGAAAAACAGGGACTTTCCTGGTGGCACAGTGGTTAAGAATCCACCTGCCAACGCAGGGGACATGGGTTCGATCCCTGGTCCAGGAAGATCCCATATGCCATGGAGCAACTAAGCCCATGTGCCACAACTACAGAGCCTGCGCTCTAAAGCTCACGAGCCACAACTACTGGGCCTGCACGCCACAACTACTGAAGCCTGTGCGCCCTACAGTCCATGCACTGTGACTACTGAAGCCCACACATCTACAGCCCGTGCTCCACAAGAGAAGCCACTGCAGTGAGAAGCCCGTGCACTGCAACGAAGAGTAGCCCCTGCTCACCACAAGTAGAGAAAGCCCGTGTGCAGCAATGAAGACCCAATGCAGCCAAAAATAAAATATAATAAAATAAGTTTAAAAAATAACATAAAACTGGGCTTCCCTGGTGGCGCAGTGGTTGAGAGTCCGCCTGCCGATGCAGGGGACATGGGTTCGTGCCCCGGTCCGGGAAGATCCCACATGCCGTGGAGCGGCTGGGCCCGTGAGCCATGGCTGCTGAGCCTGCGCATCTGGAGCCTATGCTCCGCAACGGGAGAGGCCACAACAGTGAGAGGCCCGCGTACCACCAAAAAAACAAACAAACACAAACCAAACAAACAAAAAAACAAAAACATAAAACAGAGTAATAACATGTAAATATTTTTTAAAAAAAGACTCTCTATCCACTGCTCCCACCCTACTTATCCAGCTTCACACACCAAAACAGGCTGAATCTGAGACTGATTTTCACAGAGATTAGCTGGTCAATCAATAAGCTTTTATAGCATATAAGGGCTTGAGTAAACAGCACAGGAAAGGAATCTATTGTTGATACAAATTACAAGCTCCACAACTCTCATTCTAAGTGACTTTCCAAAATATTGACTTACTAAACACACTGGACATGATCCAGTAAAGGTAGTTAATGTTTAGATTATCTGTAACCAAACTCCCTACTAACCTCGATTTAGAATTTAGCTGTATTGTGCATACAAGTAAACTTTCTTAAATTATAAGAACCCACATAAACTCCATAATATTTTGCATCCAATGTATAATGAATAAATATTGATGATTATATGCTACTTAATATGCTAATAAACCAGAAAAATCTATCTTAATTCTGGAAAAGAATAAAGATAATTACAAACAGATTCTCCTCTGTTTGCCACCCAATAGTTCTAGTAGCAGCAAAGTCACTATCAGGAAGAATGAAAAGGACTTATGCCAGTTACTTTATTCTGCATTTGCGGGGAAGAGCATGTGGCACAAGAATCTTTGTGAAAACAGTACAGGGAGAGTCAACACAGGCACTGAACTCATTTTTGGTTTCACTCAAATTTTAGAGTAAATAATACAAAAAAGGACAACAGGTATCATTATTAATAGCCTTGTCTCATGGGATTTGAAATATCATCTTGGATCTTGGAACAAGCATGAATAAACAAACCTAAGAAAGCATTTCAGAAGGTCAAAATCAAGCAAAACACAGTGGGAAGGTATTACAAATGGGGTACAGATAATCTTAGATTTCTTGTTTACTGCCCCACACTAATATGGATAATTTCCTCATCAATGAGATCCAGGAATTTATTAAATGCAACAGGCTGTGAAAAGAATCAGAACCCTAAATCCTACAAAATAAAAGCTTTAACAGAATAAATGGCGACCACACACATACAATTTAAGAAGAACTCAGCAATTTTGTAATGAAAAATGATCTGAGTTCTATTTTTTAAAACTTTGAATCATGGGTGCACAAGAAGAAGAAAACAGCCTTCCTATAGAGCCATTAACTCCACTAAAGATTTTGACTACTTCCTATTCATGGTCAAATGTGGTTGAATTACTTGATAATATTTTAAATAAAATAAACATTTTTAATGCTGGTTGAGTCTCCTTCTTGTCACTTTAATTAATATGGGACAATTGCAGTAAAGGGTAGTATAATGCATCTGCCAACTCTGACCAAATAGTTCCAGTTTATAGGAAATAAGGTGGGAGGAGGGAGTACAAAAAGACAGGTTTAAAAATTACCAAGAGGAAACAATCAGACAAATTTAGGAAATGTCAGACCCCTGACTGGACAATTGTCCTGGACTCTTAAAAGGCAAAGTCATTAAAGAAAAAAGGAAAGAACTGTTCTACTCTAAAAGAGACTGCAGAGACCTCACCAAATGTACTGCATGAACCCAGATCGGATCTTGGCTTTACAAAAGCTATGAAAGAAATTATTGGGACAACTGGAGAAATCTGAATACCGAGTAGCTAGTTTTCTTAGGTGTCATAATGGCACTGTGCTGGTATAGAAGTTGTTCTTTTTCTTAAGAGAGGCAGGCCAAAGTTTTCACTGGTGAAGTGACACATCACCACTTAATTTCAAATGGTATAGCAAAAAAAAGTATATGTCAGTATATGTGTATAAGGCATGTGGGTGTTGTTCACTGTACTGTTCTTTCAACTCTTCTGCACATTTGCCATTTTCATAATAGAAGTTGGGAAAAAGAAAGCTGGGAAATGGTGTCTGGGATGGAGGCAAGTGGTAGGGAAAAGAAAGGGAGACAACTTCATTTAGAACATATTCTAAAAGGTGAAATAATACATTCAAAAGATAGGAATATGGTGGTAGAAGAAAAAATAAGTATCATGAAAAGTAACAGAATGTCAGGATATGAATTTCTGAAAAAAAAAAAAAATGGTTGTCTCTCAACCAGGGCTAATACACTCAGTCATGAGGGCTCTAGGGAAACAAGCATAATTCCAAGAAAGAATGCTGGGACTGAACTCAAGGGTTTTAATCTGCCATCTGAGTCATCGCTAAAACAATTCCACGGCAACAGAAGAGATTACACTCCGACAAGGCAGCAGCCTGCCCGCCGGTCTAGCCCTCCCCACTAGATAATACAATCACTGCTCCGGCTAGGCCAAAAGGATCAATGTGAATACTAATGGTAATGATAACATAGGACTGTCACGCCATCTAATTTTCTTTGGTAAAAGACCAAGAGTATATTTTCATAGCCCAAAGAGGTCTGCACACAAATCCAACAATATTTTCACTTAGAAGAAAGGTTCTTAACAGAATGAACTTGTTACTAAATTAATTTTCGTTCCTGAAGATAATAAGCATTCCCTCCATAAGGACATTGATATTATAGCTTGGTGTCGGGGAAGAGAAATCCTCCTCCTTTCTTTTCTTGAGTGAGTCACATTAAACTTGTATCAAACTTCAGTGCATATTATAACCATCCAGGATGCTGATAAAATGCAGATCCCCAGGCCTCACACCCTGAGATTCTGATTCCGTTGCCAGAGGTGAGCGGGGGGAGGGGCCTGCACTTGTGTAAGGACCCCTGGGGGTTCTGAGGCAGGTACTCTGAGGTTCACTTATGGCCTGGGCTCCAACAAGCAGCTGAGTCTGACTTGGATTAGATATGATGATATAGTGAGGGGCTCTGGACTGGGAGTCAGAAAATCTGGGCGACAGATTTGTCACTAATTTATTCTACTTTGGGCAAGTTATTGTCTCTGTGCCTCAGTTTTCTCATATATTTAATGAGGATAATACCACCCCCCCGCCCCGTTACTGGACCTCATGTACATGCTAATTTATACAAAAATGACTTGAAAGTATGAAGAGCATAACAAGTAAGCATATCTTTAGATCTCAAAGTTATAAATCTTTGAGAAGGGAGGCTTTAATCTAATTCAGTGAACTTTGTATTATCTCATATTCCTGACAAGAGCCAATTACATATTACCTTCTCCTCTTTCCTTTTAGGCTTAATCCAATGAAAGGCGTGTTAAAGTGACATTCTTATTCGTATTTATCACTTGCCATCCACCCCCCACTTCCCCAGCCAGCCCTGACAAAAGAGGAAGCACAGAGAGAAGGAGGACATCAGTTAAGCACTGCGAAAATTCTATCTAAAGGAGATGCATGTCTTAGGATGCCTCTTACCAAGTCTATGAGTTTGGTAACAGGAACTTCTCGGATTGGTCTTTTCATTCGGCACAAAGCCTCTAAGGATGTACCAAAACAACTTGGGAAGTAATTTCCACTGATGGTCAAGAAGTAATCTTTGCCTCGATCCAGGTGAAGGACAAGAATATCTTCAATCTTATCTTCCCCTGAGTTCAGGATGGTCACAGAGTCTTTGCTGACATACACATCAAGGGCAATGTCCACGGTCTCATCTGAAATGTAAGAGATGGTACATGATAACAGAAACTTCCAGTGGAAAAGCAAAAAGGGGATGAGAACCAACAGAAGAAGTGTCCTCTAAAAAAATCATTAAGTGATGAAGGAGAGATGGGACACACAGAAGAGGGAGGAGCCCCAATACAATGACAGTGGAGGTGAGAGACGTATGGTTAGAAAACAAGAAGTTAATCAAAGGGAGGGGATGGCAGTCATGAGGGGATGGTACATCGCGAGCAGAGACAATGGTAAAGGGAAAACTCACTTGGCTCCAAGTAGCCCTCACAAGGTTCAGCCCGAAGCCATGGCTTGCAGTACTGGCTGTCATTAAGCTTAGGGATGAAAGAAAAATGGCAGGGAACCTGTCCATTGTTGCTGATCTGGAACTTCTCCTTTTGTAGTTGCCGAAACTTCACATTCTCAAACACAAACTGGGGAATAACAGACAGACACAAACATGCATCACTAGTAGGGGAAGAAAGTCAGTTGGATTATTCCATAGAGAATATGAATAAAGAATGAGGTCATTATTAACCATTATTAACTGCCGGATGCACTCGCCAAGTGAGCCAGCTACCCACTGTCCCCTCTCACAACAGCAGAGAAGGAGCCAGGCAGCTCTTGCTACTTCTCTAGGCTACTCTGATTGTTCCTGGGATCCTAAGAGTATAACCCCACCTGGGGTCAGGGCATGCATCCCATGACCAAGTCCTGGTTCCTGAGATATGAACTGGCCAGCAACTCTGAAGTATTAAATAAGAGCAGCTAACATCTGAGGGCTTACTTTGTGCCCGGAGGTGTTTTAAGGGCTTTGCATGTATTAACTCGGGTAATCCTCACAACCTCCCCTTTATCCAAAAAAGGAAACTGTGGCTCTGAGAGGGTAAGACGCTCGCCTATGGCCACATGTCTACTAGATGGCAGTGCTGGGACCAAAGTGGAGGCAGTCTGCCTTCAGCTCACACAGTCTTCATGACTTTGCAGTGTTGCCTTCTCCTAGTTACATGGCTTCCCCTATGCGACCACGATGGGCAACAGATGGGCAGCTGTGTGTGTTTCCTCACCTCCCTCCGGCTGAGTTCTAAGGAAGGAAGGAAGTCATTTTCCATTCTGTCCATGATGCGTACAATATCTTCAAACACTTTCCGGTACCTCCGTTCATCCACAACCTTCACCTGAAAGAAAATGAACCCTCTTTTCAGTCTTACATGCGTGTAGCTCATCTTCCTTTAAGATTACCTGACAGTTTAAAACCGGTCATTATAGCAACCATTTCAAATAAACTGTGGTGCAAACAACATCCTCAAACACTTTCTGAAGTCTCGCTCCATCCACAACTTTTACCTGAGAAAAACAGACAGATCCTTATTTTAGTCTTATGTACTCTCAACTTATATATCTCTAAGAGTCTAACGATCTTTAAAAAGGCCACTAAAACAAACATAAATTATGGGATCACACACTGTAAGGTAAAGATAAGGTTAATTGGTTAACTTCTTGGAAAAGTTAAACCTCTGTGCTACGAAGCTTGGCAATAATAAATATTTGGGAAGAATATTTTCTTGCTCCATTGTTAAGTAATTTGGTGGTGGAGAAAATGTGACAATTGTGCTAAAACTTATTTCCTGCACTATACAAACTGATAGTGTCAAAACATACCTATCACATTTTCTAACAATGGTCATAAAGTGCTAAAACAGCAGAAAAAATGACTAAAGCATTTAACTCTATCAGCTGTTATGCACAATGCCAAGAATCATAATACCAATATAATATCAATGCTCAGATTATATGATGATAAGAGTATGTTAGTAAATAGACCCTATGGCCATTTTAGAAAATGGCCGATACAAAATGTCCCAGATCAGAGTAAAAGCATGACGATAAACAAATCATCTTGCCTAATAGATCGAAAAAACTCCCATCTGACACAGCACTTTCGGCTTCTTGACACAGCTGTGCTTTTTATTTTACTATTAAAGCTTTATACAAATCGATGCCCAAAACAAACATAATTAACATAGCATTTTCACTTATTAAGGCCCCAGTTTCTTTTTAGAATAGAAAACTTCACAAACTCAATTTAAAAAAAAAGACTGATGTATGCAGTAGAGGCTGTAAAGAAAGTGTGGAAAATAAGAACATCAAAGCTGAGTCTCAAAGACTGTGGAGGTTTTTACATATCTGAACCATAATGATTAGAGAACTTAGGAGTAAGCAATCACTAGCGTCACCAGGGTGCCTACTGCAGTGTTACATTAAGAGGAATTTTATACTTTTTAAATTCTTTTTCAACATTTTGCAACTTTAAAAAAAAAATTTTTATTTATTTATTTTGGCCGTACCGCACAGCATGTGGGATCTTAGTTCCCCGACCAGGGATCAAACCCGCACCCCTGCATTGGAGGCGTGGCATATTAACCACTGGACCACCAGGTAAGTCCCTTTGCAACTTTTTATTTCAAAAAGTATTTTACATATGTCATCTTATTTTCACAACAACCTGTGAGGCTACCAAAGCAAGGATTATTCTTCTCACGGTTGAGAATACCAAGGTACAAAAAGATCAACTAAGTTGCTCACTGCCACAGTTAATAGCAGAGGTGATATCTGGACCTCTAGCATAAGACCCTTTCCAAAATACTGGATATGTGACAGGACCAACTTGGGTATGTCTTTTTTTTGAGGGGGGGGGGTAGGTCTTAAAAACACAAATGCCTCAGATCACTGATCGCAACCTCCAGGGGGCGGGGTCCATGCTTTTGAAGCTCTTTAGGCAATTCCAATGTCCACCAAAGTCTAAGAACCAATGCAACAGATCCCATTACCAAGTGCAGGGGTGGGAACCCCATCTCAGCTTAATCTCAGCCAGCCCACAGCAAGTCTTCTGAAATTAATTGGCCACTGAGTACTTGGTCCCTTTGTTAACAGTCACGGATGTGAATGGTGGTAAGAAATACAATGTGGTTCTTAAAGCCTCTAATCATAGTGTGCCCAAGAGTCCAAAGTATGGGGTGGTTACCCAATAAAATCAAAGCTCTTCTCAGTGGGTTATCGTGATCATAACCCTTAGTGCACAGTAAGGATAATGAAGGGGAAAATGTTACCACAGAATGTCACCACTTGATACATCCACTTTAGAAAAGGAAATTACCAATAAAATTAGGAATTAAGAAATATGTACAATGAGCTAGATCTTTATGTAATAACATGGATAGCTCTCCAAGATACACCACTGAATTAAAAAAAAAAGTTGCAGACCAACACATACAGTATGAGACCATTTATGATATATACACACCAACAAACAAAACACCACCATATTGTGTATGGGTAAACAGAAAAGGTCTAGAACTGTGCTATCCAATATTATAGCCAGTAGCCACATAAAGACATTTAAATTTAAATTACTTCAAATTAAATAAAATTGAAAGTTCATTTCTCTCAGTCACACTTCAAGTGATCAATAGCTGCCTGCAGGTAATAGCTACTGGATGGGACAGGATAGATCTAGAACATTTCCATCATCACAGAAAATCTATTGAACAGTGCTGGTCTAGAAAGAAATAAATTCATAAGGGTAGTTGGCCGGGCTAGGGAGTGGGGTTTAGCGCAAAAGCGGGAGTGGGGGATAGAAGAGGCACTGGAGACCTTCAGCCTTATCTGTGAATTTTGCTTACTTCTATTTTTATCTTAAAGAGAAAACACATTTTAATTCCTGTGTGATTTAAAAAGTATTAAAAACTAGAAAGGTAGACCTTTATTAAAGATACACAAAAATACACAGAAAGCATGGAAAAATTGTAAATATCCTGCTGGGAGCTCTGAATTAATATATATGGAGTATTACAAATATTCTGAGGTTCTGAAAAGAAATACAAACAGAAAACCTAAGCATAGCTGATGAAACCAAAAAGGTTAGTGTCTGGGGGAAAGACATCCTTTAAAAAAATGGATTAAGAGAACTCAAATGAAGAAAACAGGGCAGTCCACAAGCACAAGCTAGAAATTAGGTGGGTTAAAAGTAGTATCTGGGCTTCTCTGGTGGCACAGTGGTTGAGAGTCCACCTGCCGATGCAGGGGACACGGGTTCATGCCCCGTTCCGGGAAGATTCCACATGCTGTGCAGTGGCTGGGCCCGTGAGCCATGGCCGCTGAGCCTGCGCGTCCGGAGCCTGTGCTCCGCAATGGGAGAGGCCACAACAGTGAGAGGCCCGCGTACCGCAAAAAAAAAAAAAAAGAAAAAAAGTAGTATCTGAAGGTATATCTAGTCAGTAAGTTCTCTGGAACTCTGCAGGCATTGTGGAGGTAGGAGAAAGAACATCTATAAGTTTGGGAATTAAACAGGCTTAAGATTTGAATCTCAGCTCTCCTTCTAACTGCATGCTCTTAAAGAAGTTTATTTAAACTCACTGGTTCTCCACTTGCTCATCTGTTAAATGAGAAATATTTAACTCAAAGCACTGTTGTGAGGAGTAAATGAGATGGGTGTAAATTGCCTAGTACAGTCTCTGGCATGTACTAGCTACTTTTTGAGGAACACATACTATTATTATTCATTATTATTTTAAAATTTCAAAGTGGATAAAAGTCAAGTCATGATTGCCTCAATAAAATGTAGAATCTAAGATGAAGAACAAATTTTGTACATAAAAGAAATGCCCCGAAGTCATTCCCCTCTAAGACAGGAGCAGGATAAGACATATTGGTGAGAACCTATCTCAGAAGCCAAAATAATCAACATACACACAGAGGAAAGAAATCTACACTACTGTGCTCTTCGCATGTCTTACCTCATTAATCCTCTTAAGTAGGTACCATTGTTATTCCCATTTTATAGAGGAGGAAACTGAGGCAGAGGGATGTTACATAAATTTTCCATTGTTACAGTTAGAAAGTGGTTGAGCTGGGAGGCAAATTTAAGCAGTCTAGCTATAACGTCCATTCTATCAAGCACTGCTCAATATAGATTCTGCCAGATTACATGACTGCAGGTCTGGAAAAACTACAAGAAATAATCTAAATGTACTAGCTGTAATAAAGTAAGTCAACAAGATCCCAAGATATAACTTGCATACTAATAACACACAGCTAGAAAACAAAAACTTTACTCACAACAGAGACAAAAAATTAAACAACTGGTCATTAATCCAGCCCAGGATGCAACAGAGTTAAAGAGAAATTTCAAACCTGTGCTCCTGGATGGGAAGACTTCACTATCTTAGTAGAACTAACAATATGCTTCTTAACATTATATACAGATTATGTTGTATTCTGACTGGTCTGTGCCTTTGTTCCTGCTGTCCCCAGCCCTCTGCCTGGAACCTCTCTCCTGGTGCTTCCACTCCTTACTATTTTACTTGATGAGGACCTACTCATCCTTTAAAACCTAGCTTTGAACTCTTCTTTATGTATAATGACTTTAGGAGGTGAAGGGTGCTACCCAGTCATTATGCAGCATGAGAAACATCTGTGTCACTAAAAGGCCATATGGACAGCATTTAGGAGGGTCAAGGGCACTAACTTCTCAATGCTGCAAATGATTATTTGGTTATGAAAACATTTATGGCTCACTGAATTACTGATCTGTTCTGAGTCTAAATAACGCTCTAAGAATAGATACTTAACACACAAACGACTGCATGAACAAACAAGTGTTTACCCCAATGTGGAAGAGGGCGCTAACAGGTTTGTGGTCACTGGTTTTCAGTTCCATGTGACTCCGGTAATGAAGCTGATTAACGTTAATTCCTCTCCAGAGAATTCGGTCACACCAGGCTGGAACCCGACATTTCCCACTGCAAAAAAAGTAAGGAATTAGAATAACATACCACACAAGAACGGAATACCTACCACACTGGTTCAGACCTGAGTTAGGCCCTCTTGTTATCTGCTTCTCCTTCCCTAACGACTCCAACTATTATCTTCCCTACTATATTGCAAGCTCTGTGAATGGACTGTGTCTGCTTGTTTGTCACTGCATTCTCAGCCCCTAGCACAGTATCTGATGTAAAGTAGGTGCTCAATGAATAGTTATCTAATGAATGAATAAACGGTGCTCCTAAGATTAGGATTATATCTTCAATAATGTTGCCCCAGGGGAAAAAAGAATAGCATCTTCTTAAAATACCCTCAAAAGGACAGGATTATATTCAGAACACTTCCTCTTCGTTTGCTCTATCAACAGCAATGATGCTTCACAACAGATAGACAACTAATAAAATCTAAAAATCCAATCCTATATTCCTAGACTGGGCTTAATCACTGGAGATGGGTAATAGTAGAGATTTCTTTAAACCTGGACTTTTATGGATAAGTCGAGCTTCTTCTAATAAAGATGAACTAACACCTAAGCATGCAAGTCTGAACAAATAACAGCCCATAAGAATACCAAGGGGAGGGAAAAAGCCTATTCATCATTCTATTAAAATAAGCAACACCTGTACACCTGATCCAGACAGTGACACAAATAAAGTTCTTATCAGTAGCTCTTCAGTTGACTCTCAAGTCAGGTGAGTGGAATAAACAAGGCAATGTGCACAAGATCTGTCAGAGTCACTTTTCACTTGCTGAGCAGCTCCCTCGGAGGATGGGACAGGCTCCTCCCCACCCCACCCTGGCGCTCTCTGAGTCTAAAGAAGCTGACTATGCCCAGGCATTCTTTTCTTCTTTCAAACTTCTGGGCTCAGCCAGGTAGGAAACCATAGGAAACGAAGAAATAGTAAGTAGAAGACAAACAGTCACCAGGCACATACTGACAGGGGCACTTTACTAGGGGTGATCGAGAAATCAACAGGCCCCCTAGACAGTGATTCTCAGCTTTCTCCAGCAGTTGTGGAGGTTGGGCCCAGGCACTCGTATTTTTAGAAGTCCGGCAAAAGAGTCTAATGTGAACTCAGGATTGAGAACCACTGTGCTGGAAGAACCTTTCATGGCTCTTTGTTTTCACCTCTGGTATCCTGAGTTAAAGAGTTGAAAAAGAGTTTGGGAAAAGAGCCAGAACACGGCAACAGGTAAGGAAATAGGGGTAAGATCAGAAGGGCAAAAACCTAACAAGCAAGTCTGCTGAGGTGAGAGAAATAAGGCATCACAGGAAGCTCGTAAAACTTCAACAGCCTGACAGAGCAGTTCACACTCTCCTAAGGTGAGCTCACCTGTGAGCACACACAAATTGAAACCTCTTCTGTAATAGCACTGAGCCATTAGGTTTTTCTATCTGTTTCTGGCAAGAACTAAAAATTTCCCAGCCCTTCATCAATTCAGAGAGACAGAAATAAGATCAGGGCTTAACCTATTCCATGAGGAGGTTCTTGTTTTTTTACCTGGAATCCCATCGGTCTGTTTTAGAATCATACTTATACGTGGGGATAAACTTGATTTCCCCTTCCATGAAGTCAGCAAAAGCTTTTTTCTGTGTGCGCTGAATATTTAGCTAGAGATAGAAAAACGTATCATATAAGCAGGGTAACACCATCTTAACAGAAGTGCTAATTGGGTTGATCAGCCATTTCTAAGTATCTAAGTTCCGTATCTTGTGCAACTGTCGGAGCACATACATAAAATTTCTGTGCCTTATGAATTAAATTTTGACATTCCAACAGCATCTAAGCTCACCCACAGACAGGATGCTCACATGAGCATGTCACTAATTTTTTATTGCTAATGGTGGTCAGGGTAAAATGGAAAAATGAAACCTGAATAATCATAAGTTCCCTGATGTTAGCACAGATTTTTTAAAATTTATTAAAGTATAGTTGATTTACAATGTGTGAATTTCTGCTGTACAGCAAAGTGACTCAATTATACATATATATATATACTTTTCCATTCTGGTTTGTCACAGGATATTGAATATAGTTCCCTGTGCTATACAGTAGGACCTTGTTGCTTATCCCTACTTGGCATCATTTTATTTATTTGTTTATTCTTTTGGCTGCATTGGGTCTTCTTTGTGGCACGCAGGCTTTCTCTAGTTGCGGTGAGTGGGGGCTATTCTTCTATGCGGTGCACAGGCTTCTCATTGTGGTGGCTTCTCTTGTTGCGGCACGTGGGCTTCAAGGATACTGAATAGAGTTCTCTGTGCTATACAGTAGGACCTTGTTGTTTATCCATCCTATACATATAATAGTTTGGGCACAGTTTTAATTTTTTAAAAAAGCACACAAATTTTTTTTTTTTTTTTTCTTGCGTTATGCGGGCCTCTCACTGTTGTGGCCTCTCCCATTTGCGGAGCACAGGCTCCGGACGCGCAGGCTCAGCGGCCGTGGCTCACGGGCCCAGCCGCTCCGCGGCATGTGGGATCTTCCCGAAACGGGGCACGAACCCGCGTCTCCTGCAACGGCAGGCGGACTCTCAAGCACTGCGCCACCAGCGAAGCCCAAAAGCACACAAATTTTGATTGGATAATTCCAAAAACCAAATTCAGTGAATAGTTATATTGGGTTGGCCAGAAAGTTCATTCAGGTTTTTCTGTAACATCTTGTGGAAAACCTGAACGAACTTTTCGGCCAAGCCAATAGATCGTTTTGAAAGTTACCCTCACTCAAATATTTTACCAGAATTACATAAGATTCAGAACTTATTCCAATTGTACCCCCTTTGGAGGCAGGACAGAGGAAGAAATGCAAAGTTAGCCAGCCAACCTCAATGTGAAGGTAGACACAGCCAAGAAAGGCCCACTGTAAAAACCATTCTGCTGCAAAACACTGGAATTTTGACTATGACTGAGGGTCAAAAGTCTCACGTTAGGATTTAAAGACATTCAAATCAAGTTGAAACATTTTCTTCCCTCAATAAGAAGCATTCACTTTTAGCAGCCAGTACCCATATGCTAAAGTAAAAATTCAAGTCCTGTGCCAGGCTCCAAGGCAAATTTACAGAAAACTAGGTTCCTCAATATCGTTTTATATAAATGTTACCATATCAATGCTTCTCACACAGGTTTTATATCTATAAACTAGCAAGCCCCAACTTCTCAATCAGTTCCCATTAGACCACAGTCTGTGCTATTTTTCCCAAACTTCTCTTCTGTGCCTCCCAACCCCCTCACAGGGCCTCCCTCTTTTACCTCCAAGCTGTTGCTGAGCCTGCCAAGTAATCATAGAGCAGCTTTCCCTGTTTCATCTGCCAAACCACATCAACATAGCTGAAGGCCCACTTCCTCCAGGAAGTGTTCTCCAATTAACCCCACCCATTCTCCAACTCATTTATACAAATCTCTGAAATCCCTTCTTAATAAAGACTTAATGAATGATGTTATATTGACTTTTCACCACTAACGTTATCTCTTCTCCTCCCATCCAAGCACTTAATAAAAGCACTACAAACCTTGTGTGTATTCACTGCATCACTAGTCACAATGTTTTCCCCAGACAGTGAGACCTTTCCATCTACTTCTAGAGTAAGACACAACTCCCATGGATCTAACTCATAAACCTAACAATTTTATCTGCTGTCTAGGAAAGTACCTTTTAAAATAAAATTTTATTACCTGGTCCAATTTCAAGAGTCTCTGAAGGTCATTCTTATTAATAAGACTCTTCACTTCATTGGCATCAGGCATGCAAAGTCTGTAGTTCAAATCTCCCAACCAGATGACAACACTGAGGATAAAGAAATACATGAACAGAAATAGCAGTAATGAGCATAAAAATCAACCAGAGGAGAATGGAGAGAAGGAAAATGGGGAGATTATTGATAAGCATTCATTTATCACTATCTGACTAGGGGTTTAAGATATAACTATCCTTTGGGGGCGAGTACTATCAACACCTGAGAGGGGCGAGGGATTACAAAATAGGCAGGAGGACGGGCCTGCACACATGAGGAACAAAGACAGGGAAATACGGTGTATGTGTGGGACTCAGAAACCAAGGAGTTAACTCCCTGAGAAAAGCATGTAGTTTATTTGCTGGACTAGCTTCAAAATTTCACCTGGCTACTTGCCAGGTCTCTAGGGGAAGAGAATCTGAACGTTTTCTGCCTCTCTGAGCCCTGATGTTCTGCAGGCTCTCCACTAGGGTCTGCATGGTCTGAATGACAGCTCTCTCGGGCAGGGCCCACTAGCAAATGTAGGTCCAGGGCTTTCTGCTGTACCCAGTCTGTCTACCCCTGCCCCAGAACCGCAGTCCAAGTCCCAGGCAGGAAGGAGAATGGCAGGCCACGGGAGCCTCAGGCTCCCAATCACAGCAACAGACCCCCAGGTGTGCTGAGAGCCACCCAGGGGAGACCCTGAAATTCCCACACCAAAATGGGTTCTCTTGTGAGCTATCTCAAGTTCCAAATGGATCTCTTTGCCAATCTTTAAGGTCCCGGGTAAATAAATTTATGGAATTTCAGGGCAATTTTATGATTACTGATGTCAAGGCCTTGTTTTACCACTGTGAAACAGAATTCTATATGATCCTAATTGCTGAGACAATATGGAAAGAGGCCAACATCACTACCTATCCCTACTCTTTCCTCAATTACCCCACTCTCTACTGATCCTAATACCCCCAAATTATCTTTTGTTTTCCTACTAATTCACATCTCAAACCACTATTCCAAATCTCATCACCCTCTCAGAATTTCAATTACTAGTATTAATTTCCTTACAACTAACCATTTTCTACTAACAATCCATTCCTCAACTGATTTTTGTTTCTATCCTTATTATGTCCCATTCTTCACTAACCTTTCACATTATCCATTGGTGTCTTTAAATCTCCACAGCCCCTTTTCTTAATGATTCACAGCCAGTAAAAAGAATAATGTAGATCTATAGTTACTGGCTTGGAAAGAGATTCACAATAAATAGGATAATACAGTCCTATATAATGAGTATGTGTGTGTTTGTGTGTGCATAGAGAAAAGTCTACAACAGCACTATTCAGAAGAGATAGGGACTTCCCTGGTGGGGCAGTGGTTAAGAATCTGCCTGCCAATGGAGGGGACTCGGGTTCGATCCCTGGTCCGGGAAGATCCCACATGCTGCGGAGCAACTAAGCCTGTGCGCCACAACTACTGAGCCTGCGCTCTAGAGCCTGCAAGCCACAACTACTGAGCCCACGTGCCACAACTACTGAAGCCTGTGTGCCTAAAGCCCGTGCTCTGCAACAAGAGAAGCCACCGCAATGAGAAGCCCATGCACCACAATGAAGAGTAGCCCCTGCTCGCCGCAACTAGAGAAAGCCCACACGCAGCAACGAAGACCCAACACAGCCAAAAATAAAACTAAATTAAATAATTAATTAAAAAAACAAACAAGACATTGGACGCACATCACAAATGTAATTTTCAATTGTCTAGTAGCTGAATATAAAAAGTAAAAGAAACAAGTGAAAATAACTTTAATAACAAATTCCAGGGCTTCCCTGGTGGCACAGTGGTTTAGAATCCACCTGCCAATGAAGGGGACACGGGTTCAAGCCCTGGTCCAGGAAGATCCCATATGCTGCAGAGCAACTAAGCCCGTGTGTCACAACTACTGAGCCTGCGCTCTAGAGCCTGTGAGCCACAACTACTGAGCCCGTGTGCCACAACTACTGAGGCTCGCACGCCTAGAGCCCATGCTCCGCAACAAGAGAAGCCACCACAATGAGAAGCCCATGTGCCGCAACGAAGAGTAGCCCCCGCTCGTCGCAACTAGAGAAAGCCCGTGCACAGCAACGAAGACCCAACTCAGCCAAAAATAAAAAAACAAAACAAAAAAACCCCAATGCCTTTAAAAAAAAAACAAATCCCATTTAACTCAATATATGCAAACTTTTGTTATTTCAACATGTAATCAATACTTAAAAAGTTGAGATATTTTACATTTTTTCCCTACTAAATTCAGTGTATATGCTCACAGCACATCTCAATTTGGATTAGCTACTTTCAAGTGCCCAACAGCCACCTATGGCTACTGGCTGTCATAATGGACAGCACAGATCTGGAAGGATACACACTGAATTGTCCACAGTGTTTTTCTTCGGAAGGAGGGACTCGCTAGGGAGAGCAGAGGTAAGAAATGAGGGATATTTTACTTTTACCTTTTATTACATTCACAATGAACATTTCTATTTTATAATAAAAAATAATAAAAACTGATGTCAATTGACAGACCCCCCCTCTACCATTACCCTAGATGCCCACTAACAGAACTAACCTTTCCTCTGATAGCAAATCTAATTCCTCTGACTCAATGCATCTGCTATTCCTCAAACCCGCCCCCTTCTTTGTGACCCCAATCCCTAAACAACGATCCCTTCACTCTTCACATTTCTATAGCTTCTCACCACGTTTAGTCTCTCCTCACCAGCACTATTCAAAGGCTAAGGAAGACTTAACCACTCACTCATGTTTCATGATGTTCAGCTGTGGGAGGGTCTGATTTGGGACCACAAAACTCATTCGTGCGCAGATGTCCTTATAATCTTGATTCCTTCTCTCAAAGTCCTCCACGTGGGCAGCCAAGTGGGAATTGACAACGCAAAAGGTAGTGTTGTGAAATACAAATCTCACAGCTACCCCACCTTTGTTTCCCTGTTAGCAAAAGTAATTATCCACAGTTAGTACAAAGATGCAACTAGCACCTGAACTTCACATGGACATAAATCATAATTGAGCTCATTTCCAAAGTAACTCACCATCTTCCCCATGATTCCAGTCCCAACTGTTTCTGTAGCAACATCACGGATATATCGCCACTGGTCCTTTCTGGCAAATATCAGGAGCATCATCCCAACAAGGCGGACCAGTTGAACCTATGAGTTGCAGGGAATTAGAAGAGGTTCACGTTAATACGACTCTTTGCCACATATCGAATTCCCACAACTAATTTTCCACCAAGAAGATATAACCATGCCCCAATCTGAATCCAAATCCTCTAATTTCCCAGCGGACCTCATAAAGAGAAAACAAAATTTCTCTGGGAAAGCTTTAATCTGGCTCTGACCAGTAGGAGTTAAAAGTCTTTGGAGACAACGAGTACACTCAGCTCTAGGTTCATTATTTTAATCACTTTTTAGCCTACCATGAGTAGGCAGCATTAAAAATTCGAATAATAATGACAAAGCCTCTATCCCGGCTTGTTCCTTTTGCCTCTTCTTCCTAGTTTCTGATTGACAATTTCCTAAGAAATTAAAATGTATAAAATAACAATCCTTTTTACTTTTAAGTCTGTGAACTAGAAATATGTCTGAAATGTGTATTAGTCTATATGAGAGGAATAACATCTTCAGGAGTCTTATCACCTACATCAGCTGTTAGAAGATGCAGATGAAAATTACTTAGACAAATGACTCCTTTTAAAGGGCTTGGTATGGTAGCCCCATAATTAAAATAACTCTTCTGGTAGCCTCTACCATGTGCCTTCTAGAGACCAACAAATTGGGCCACCTTGCTAAAGTCAACTCTATTCTTGACTTACAACCAAGTTTCGAGCTCACTGAAATTCCACAACACTCCTGTTCTTGCTCCAATTCCAAAGCTTGCCCTACGCACCCACGTGCTTCAAACTGCTTTTCTGTAAAGCATCCAGTTCTGACCATGTCGGCGAACAATTTCAATCTTAAACTCTCATTGCAAAAATCACTTACCTTATGTGTCATCATTTGAGTTAACTACTGCTATGAGAACAATAAAATTCTTCTTTTCTCCCAAAAACTACCTAAGCGATGAAATTATAAGATCGGGAAACTTAGGGAATTTTTTTTCTAGGAAATAGGAATAAAAAGGATTAGTCTGCCCTATTCCAGTATTACACATGGGGAAGAATTCAATTAAACCACTCTTTTGGAACAAGCTATAGATAACAGAGTAACTTCTAGTGAGTTCTATTTAGTTGTATACTAAAAAAGATAATTAAATGCGGCTTACTTTCTTATACTTGGCTTTGGAATGCAAACCCCTCTCCACAGCCAAGGACCACTCTTGTTCCTTCACAGATTCAAAGTAGAAAAAGGCTTCTGTGCTCAAGTCCAGCTCTTGGAATCTGAGAAAACAAGAGGATGTCGGATTTATACACATCCCATAATTATCTCTGACTGCCTCCTGTCCCATTTTCTGAGACATTAGATGAAACAATGCGGAAAAGATAAATTTTAGAGAACTGCTCTATTGACTCAGGTGATCAGTAAGGACAAGTAGTTTTCTTTTCAAAAGGCTCCCCGCCACAGGTATATGCACAGGCTATGCAAAACACAAACAAAAAAACCTCCATAAGGGATAACAGTAGAGCTTTGCTTATATATCCTAGAAGTAGTCACTGTTAGAATTAACCTCAAATCTCAGTTTCTATGACGTATATAGTTTTCTATGGGTTTTGAGAGGATTAGATGCTTGCTTACACCAATTTAGGTATCTTTTCCTTTATGATCTCACAAATTTGACCCACAAGTTAACTCTCACATATAGTCTACAGTAGGTTTTTACAAATGGTGGGGGAAAAAAAAGCAAAATGTCACATAAACTAACACCAAACATACAGCCAAAATGAAATTCCAGACGCGTATTTTACCCAATGCAGTAGATATCAGGAGGATTCGGATCACAGTTCAGCCAAGGTTCTAGCCCACTATCTGGAGACTGGCCATTCACGTTCCATGTTCCAACAAAGAATCTAATACATGATACCAAAAAATAATTTAAAAACAAAGGTCAAGTGTGGATGGTCACAATAAGCAACATAATTTCTCAAACTGTTTTGCCACACATACACACACAAAACCCTCTTGCATGTAGATGACAAAGGCAGTGGGCTTATTCTCTCCAAATTTTACATCAGGTAAACCTACAGAAAGGAACCAAGTCTCTATTTAAAAAACACAAGTTTAATTGCTCTACCACGTTTCCTTTCTATTACATTCCATCCAAACTCATATTTGAAGGGAGAGCTTGTGGATGGGAAAGAGGTATCTTCATGCTATAAGGATGTCTAACACGGATAACTATTCCATAAGGAGTTGTAGTTAAATCCAAAAACTCACTTCCCGAAGGATTGCGAGGACATCTGTGTAGGAAATTCTGTTGAGACAGATATAGTATCAAGGGGGAAAGCAGAAGGGGAAACTCATGACTGTCTTAACTGTTTACATACAAATATACGCACCACGGGAAATCTGAAGATCTGGAGGTTTCAGCAGAGGGATACAGTCATGACTGAACTAGAATAAATGAGGCATAACGGGATAGCAGATGGGACTGGAATCTTGGACTAAAAGGGTACATGCTGTTCGAAAATAACAAAGAAAAGCGTTGCTGCTCTGAACATCGGGGTACACGGCACACACCACACGTAGTGAGTCCAGAAAAGAGGATATCACCAAGATGAAATGAAAAATATAATAGAGGAAAGAATCCAAGATAGACCTCCCAGTCAAGATGCTTGGGTGAAACTTCCTTCAGTTAACTTCCCAAAGTAGGTAAATTAAAGTCTAGTGGTAATGGCGGACTTAATTTTCCAATATTGGCAAGAAGAAATTCAGCAGGTCAGATAGATAAACACACTTGCTTATGGAATGTACTAGGAGACAATCCTCTAGTACCTGTGAGCTTGACTTGGTTCTCTGAGAGTGGATAGAAAGGTTAGTAGATGTGGTATCATTAGTAATTAGAAAATCCAAGGGAAATTGTAGCATTTGCATTATTTTGGATATGTATGTTATTGACCAGCATAAAGACAGGGGCTTGAATCAGCTCACCATTCTTTTCTTTATGCTTTTATTCTGAATTGAGCTAATTAAACTAATACCTTAAATACCCAAAGACCGTTTTTTCCTATACGTACTAACGTTTAGCCTCAGGAAGTAGAAGAGAGACTAACCTGAAAGTCTGAATGTTGACATATTCTTTCTCTCGCTTTGCCAGGATGTGTTTGATGAGACCCTCCCGCTGCCCAGACTGGGTGTTTGGTACAAAGAGCTTCCGCATGGTATTGGTCACTTTGGGCTGTTCCTTGTTAGAAGCTTCTTTTTCACGTGGAAGCCTAGCAAATAAATGAGGAATTCAAAAGTGAAATTGCCTTAAACAATTCCCATGTGTGTCTCACACGTGGGAAATCTGTTTCAACACAGGACTTACATTCTATTCACTGAAGACGGTGGGGGAGGCGGTTCCCGATGAACCCCTGTAGGCTGATTCTGCAAATTTATTTTCTTGTCCAAATTCAAAGATGAAAAATTATCCTCAAATCCAAGAAGCCCTGAAGGACACAGAACCCAGAGTGGAAGGGGGGAAAAGATAACATCCAACTTATCCAGGATTGACAGGACTTTGCTTTGATCAGCGGTTTTGGTTTGATCACTATTTGCTCAGTGGCGTTACCAAACAGAAAGGTATAAGAGTAGTGATAACGTAGATTGGGGGAAGAAGCACATCTGTCCCTGAAGCACTGACATATTAACTAGAATAACAGTAAGTTACGTTAACTTGGAACGTGAATAATAAGAGCTAGTCTTTATAGAAGACTTTTAGCACAATGCCTGGTTGATAGTAAGGAGCTATATCATCATCTCACTTAATCGTCACAAAGACCTCATGAGGTAGGTGTTATTAAAAATCTTCCCATGTTACAGAAAAAGAAACAGAAGCTCAGAGTTGTCAAAGTAATTGGACCAAGGTCATATAACTAGTAAGTCAGAGAACGGGGATTCAAACCCAGGTAGTCTGGCCCCAGAGCCTGCACTTTTTACCCCTCTGCTAAGCTGGCACTGAAAGAGCTAATGTGCCACAGAAAGGATCAGGAGTGAACATGAGTCGGTGGGTACGGACTTGATAAAACCACTCCATAGGAGAAGGTATCTGACACTGACATTAATCCACATTATCTTATCTGCCCAGATAAAATCTATTGACTCTGCAATAATCATAGCAACCAGGGAAAAAAAGAATCTTTTCAGTACCTGAAAAAACAGAAGAGTTGTCCTCAGTGTCTAATTTCTGGTACCAGCTGGATGAGTCCTTTTGCTCTGGAACAAGAAGTTGTGACTGCGCTGGAGAGATAAGGGTCATAGAATGCAATGACTATTCCATTGAATGGAATATACCATAACCAAAGGCCATTCACTCAGCACTCAAGTGCAGGGGCCAGCGCCATTCTTGAATACAAAGGAAGAGACTAAGAAAATGAGGGCAGCTCTGGGATCATCTGGGACCAGAGGAGGATTACAGTCTGCAGTAAGCTGTCCAAGGAATGAAACTGAAGATTCTGGAAATTGACTCAGTGTCCTTAAAGCTGAATAGACTTATTCCCTAACCTATCCCTGGCGCCATTCCTGAAGAAACAAAAATCACCTATCAAGGCTCTAGGGGTGAGGTACTTTGCTAATGGCCACTTGCCTCTGTACAGCATGTCTCATGCAAGTAGTAGAAAGAAAACTGCTGAGGCTTGAGTTACCTTCCTGAGCAGCAAGGACCTCTGAGAGGAACTTCAGACAGCGTTCCTCATCAGGGATTTCAAAGCGGCGCTCTCTGGTCCAGTCCCCCTGAATCCGAATTTTGCAGCCACCTAAAAAGAATGGAAATCCATGTACATATAGCTACGGAAAATAATGTTTTCTTGGGATATTTTCAACTTACCAATTTAATAGGAGAAGGTCCAGATTGCAAATATTCCAGACCTCTAACGTGTGACGCATGCCTATAAGATCAAGGGATTCGGTGTGGTGGTGGTGCTGGGGGTGATGCACAGAGGAAAATCTAATGAAGGCTGAGAAACTGTGTAAATGAGCAGCCCAATATAGTGATATGGTACGTACTGAAATCACAGTTTCCTGCTTTCTGATATATTGCTCAAATGTCACTGTAGGAACCTCCAAAATCTAGCAGAAGATCAATTCCTCAACCACCCTCCTCCCATCTCCTAGCTGGAAATTCCTACCACTTCAAATCCAAATCATATAGTAAGAGTCTCTGAAGTGCGAAGGGAAAAAAGGAGATATGATGGTTTGTTCCTAGGTACAGACTGTACCCAGGCAATTGAATTTATAAGCTAATTGAAAAAGAAAAGCATAATGGGATTGGTTTGAATTATTCTGAAAAGAAGCATCTATACCTCATTTACCTCAAGTGAAAAATGTATGTCTTGAAAAAAACTCACAAAAACAATATAATGACCCATGTCCAGGAGTGGTCTGGTTCAAGGACAGTCAGTTGGAAAACAGTATAATTAGAAGCAAAGTTATCTGGGACTTTAGTTTCTTATGTATATAACATACTGTCTCCCCTTTTCTAATGCCCTCTATTTACCATCAACTGTCTGGATATGGTGACCCAGGAAACCCATGTCCTTGTTTACATTCTTATTTTAACTGATTTATTACATTTATTGCTTTCTCATGGCCCTGGAAACTATAAGCTCCTTAAGGGCAAGAGGCAGGCTGCACATACCGGTTATCCAACACAACACTCTCAATGGTCTCCCGGGGTTGTTTGGGACGGAGGGGCTTCTCAGGACTTAAGACTTCCAAAGCTAAGACCGGGAAAGTCCCAGGCAAACTGGGCTCATCGGTCACTTTATTGATAACAATGACATCAGACTTCACAGACAGAAGGCATTTAATGACTACCAAACTGGACTCTTTCACACTTGTAAATAACAAAGAGATGAGAAAATAAAATGAAAATCCTAGTTTCTTATGGTAGAAATCCACTTCTGAACCTTTGACTCTCTCTTTCTTCGCATTTCTTTAAGTTTCTGTATTCACAGATATTTAGTGATCGGAAGAAAAGAGACAAACATAGAGGAAAAAAATGAAAAAGAAGGCACCCAAGAGGACCAGCAATAAGAAGATTAACGGGGGTGCCACTGTAAGGTGGAGAAAAAAAGAGGGGGCATGAATAAGGACTGTCAATTAGAGCAGCCTTGAAGATACGATGGGAAAACCTCCTTCAGGGCACAAGTGGTCCTCTCTTTCTCCGAAAATTTATATTAAAAGTAGAAGAAAATTTAAAAAGAGCAGTTCCTACCTGATACAGACTTAGAGCAAGAACACATATTCTCTCTGTCCCACAATCCTTGAAAGATATATTTTAGCAAATATAAAAAATAAACTGACCCATTCAACGGACAAAAGTTTCCAGAAATTGCTTACAAACTAACACTAGATGCTCTCTCACCATGTTGCATGGGAAAGAGGACAAATTGCCCCCACCACCCAACCTTCCACTCTCTTCCCTTCCAGCCCCTCTGGCCTCTTTGTGATCAGCAAACACCCCTCTATCTTCAATTTCTCCTCTGAATACTCCCTGCATCTCTCAGTAGTTCTCAACTAAGCGTGCATTAGAATTACCAGAGGCGCTTTTAGGAAATACTGACACTTGGGGCCCCATCCCAGGCCAAGAAAACAGAATCTCGGGGGGTGAAGCCCAGGCACTGGGAGTTTCTAAAACACTCCTCCAGGTGGTCTAGTGCATCCAGACTGAAAATCAGAGTCACCTGCAAACTAACTGGCTGGCCCCTGAGACTAGCTCCCGCTGCGGCCCTCTGAACTAGAGGCTATTTATAGTCTTTCACACCCTATGTAATTTAAGACTGATGCCCTTATTTGTCCTAATGCCGTCTCCAGACCATTCCCGCTCCGCCTCCCTCATGAAAAATCCCTTCTCCTTTGAGGCTCACCCACTGGGCTATGCCAGCTTCTTCCCTTCCCTCCTCCATGGAATCATGTACCAACCTCCCAGAAACTTCCAAATCCAGGCCTGATTAAGACTTCCTCTCCACTCACAGCCCTGCTTTAATTAGCTTAAACTACTGAAGGAGCCTCCTAACTGGCACCCCAACATAGGCATAAAATCCTTCACATTCTTTCAATTTGTAAAAATCTGAAAATCCAGATTCCTTACCATGGCTTACAAGACCCTACTGGATCTGGTCCTAGCCTGTCCTACCTTGGTGCCTGAGCCTTATTTCAGGCATCCTGGCCTTCTTTCATTTCAAAGAAAGTGTCAAGCTACTTCCCAGTTTGGGGCCTTTACACATGCAGTTCCTTTTACCTGGAATACTCTTCCCCATTTTCACCTGTCTCTTACTTATCCCCTCTGGTCTCAATTTAAATGTCACTTCTTCAAAGAGGCCTTCCCTGAGTACCCTGCCTAATTTAGTTAGCACTCTTATAAACTCTCTGTATTTCTCCTTGATAGCATTTATCAAAACTACAATTATGGGGAATTCCCTGGCAATCCAGTGATTAGGATCCTGGGCTTCCACTGCAGAGGGCCTGGGTTTGATCCCTGGTCAGGGAACTGAAATCCCACAAACCACGCGGTGTGGCCAAAAAAACCCCCACCAAAACAAACCCAAACCCCCCCTGCAATTATACGACTATACCTTATCAGTTTAAATTCTGTTTCCTTCACTAAGTTTCATGAAGTACCATGACTATATTGCTTTCTGCTATATCCCCAGAACACGGTGCCTGGCACATGAAAGGTATTCACATGTTTATGGAATGCATTAATGGATTATAGGCATCTACGTGACACTAGTATCAAACAGCACAGAAGCAAGAACCAAAGCTGGAGGAGCAACCTTATCTATGTTGTTCTCTACTGATTGTGCAGCTCTTAGAATAGTGCCTGGCAAATAGAAGGCACTCGACAAATATTTGTTGAATAATGAACAAAAGAGGGTTTAATATTAGGGAATTAGTGTAATACAGTCCATCAATAGGTCAAATAAGGAAGAACAATATAACCAGCTCTATAAATACAAAAGACGCTTGATAAAATTCAAAATACATTCACCATTTTAAAAACCACACAAACTCGAAATAAATGCAGTTTCTTAACATGATTTTAAAAAACCCTATCAAATCTACAGGTAAAAACATCCTCAACAATGAAGCACCACTTGAGGCATTCTCACTGAAACCAGGACCTAAACATAAATCATCATCATTATTTAACACTGATCTCCAAATTCTTGTTGGTGTAATGAGACATGAAGCAAAACTAATAGTTATAGCTACTAGAAAGAGACAAAACTACTATTTGCAGATGACTAGGGCTGTCTATCAAAACCAAAAAAGAAAATAAACAGCCCCCCCAAAATAAAAATAAATTTCTGTAAAGTGGCTGGATAAAAGATAAATATCTAAAATTCAACAGCTGCTCTGTATACTAGTAATAAGCAATTAGAAGAGAAAAAAAGGTTCCACTGACAATAGCAGCAAACAAAATCCATCAAAAACCAGTTAACCTACAAATGTATGATAGCTATGAAGAAACCACAAAATGTTACTGAGAAATACAAAGAGAAACTGAGTAAGTGAGATAGATATACCATGTTCCTTGACAGTGACTTAAATTTATAAAGGAGTTAATTTAATAAAATTTGGTGCATATCTATGGTGAAACATTAGCCATTAAAAATCATGTTTTTGGGGCTTCCCTGGTGGCGCAGTGGTTGAGAGTCCGCCTGCCGATGCAGGGGACACGGGTTCGTGCCCCGGTCTGGGAAGATCCCACATGCCGTGGAGCGGCTGGGCCCGTGAGCCGTGGCCGCTGGGCCTCCGTGTCCGGAGCCTATGCTCCGCAACGGGAGAGGCCACAACAGTGAGAGGCCCGCATACTGCCAAAAAAAATCATGTTTTTGGAGGAAACAAGATGGCGGAGTAGAAGGACGTGCTCTCACTCCCTCTTGCGAGAACACCAGAATCACAACTAGCTGCCAGACAATCACCGACAGGAAGACAATGGAACTCACCAAAAAAGATACCCTACAACCAAAGACAAAGGAGAAGCCACAATGAGACAGTAGGAGGGGGGCAATCACAGCAAAATCAAATCCCATAACTGGTGGGTGGGTGACTCACAGACTGGCGAACAATTATACCACAAAAGTCCACCCACTGGAGTGAAGGTTCTGAGCCCCACGTCAGGCTTCCCAACCTGGGGGTCCGGCAATGGGAGGAGGAATTCCTAGAGAATCAGACTTTGAAGCCTAGTGGGAATTGACTGCAGGACTTCGACAGGGCTGGGGGAAACAGAGACTCCACTCTTGGAGGGCACACACAAAGCAGTGTGCGCATCGGGACCCAGGGGAAGGAGCAGTGACACCGGGGGACACTGAACCAGACCTAACTGCTAGTGTTGGAGGGTCTCCTGCAGAGGCGGGGGGTGGATCTGTTTCACCATGGGGACAAGGACACTGGCAGCAGAAGTTTTGGGAAGTACTCCTTGGCCTGAGCCCTCCCAGAATCTGTCATTAGCCCCACCAACGAGCCCAGGTAGGCTCCAGTGTTGGGTTGCCTCAGGCCAAACAACCAACAGGGAGGGAACCCAGCCCCACCCATCAACAGTCAAGTGGATTAAGGTTTTACTGAGCTCTGCCCACCAGAGCAACAGTCAGCTCTACCCACCACCAGTCCCTCCCATCAAGCCTCTTAGATAGCCTCATCCACCAGACGGCAGACAGCAGAAGCAAGAAGAAATACAATCCTGCAGCCTATGGAACAAAAACCACATTCACAGGAAGATAGACAAGATGAAAAGGCAGAGGGCTATATA